CTGCAGGACAGGCAGAACTGCTCCTGTTCACTCCCTGCAGGACAGGCAGAACTGCTCCTGTTCACTCTGCAGGAATAGACGGCCTCATCTTTCTCCCCCTGAGCAGTTGTGGGTTTGAACTTTGTGTCACCATGTCACCACCTGGGCTCCTATGGAGCTTCACTAGGGATCCCCACCTGGAGCCGTGACTCAAAGGCCAGAGGAGAGCTGCCCCAGGGTTTCGGAGGCTGCCCCCTCTGCGGGAGCAGAAGGCCTTGCCTGGTGAGTTTGAATTGCCAACTCCCCTCCGTAGGCTCTCTGCCTGCTCAGGGCCCTTCTTGTCTGTCCCAGTTACAGGTTCATGGTCATGGATCGCTTAGGGAGTGACCTTCAGAAGATCTACGAGGCCAGTGCCAAGAGGTTTTCTCGGAAAACTGTCCTGCAACTGAGCTTGAAAATTGTAAGTGTGCCTCCTCCTCCACCCTCTCCTTTCTTCCCACCTGCCCTCAGGCAGGGCGCTCCCTTGGGGTTGGCCTGGCCCGGTGGTTCCTGAGGCAACTGGGCCGGTCCTCTGCTGGTGGCTGTGGGTACTGCACTCAGGCTTGGGCCTCTCCTAGCTGGACGTCCTGGAGTACATCCACGAGCACGAGTATGCCCACGGGGACATCAAGGCCGCCAACCTCCTCCTGAGCTGCACGCATCCCGACCAGGTAGGCGCAGGCCCTGCCTCGGGGCCCGCTCACAGAGCGCCTGCTGGCAGCAGCCCTGCTGCTGGCCTTGGGACACCGCCCGCCCTGCCCGCAGCAGTCCTCCCATGTGACGCTCCAGCTCTGGTGCAGGTGCTGGCACTCAGTTGGTGGAGCTGGCGGTTGTACCTGAGTAACTCTCAGTAACACCCAGTCACACTCAGTCACGCTCTGGGGAAGTGCTGGTGACGCACAGTGAATTCCAGAGCGATTTGGGCCTGGAGTTTGAAATTACCGAGGGCACCAATGAGTGCTGCTTGCCTGTCTGCCTGGTCATTTTAGAATTGTCTTTGTTCAAGAAGTCCATCGAGTGTCACTGCTCAATTTCTTGGGAAATGTGGCCTTTCACATGCGGACTATTCACAGCAGAGGGTTTACAGAAGCGTCCTGACTGTCTAAGTGTGGGCACCCTCGGGTTTGGAATTTGCTCTGGTGGGTGGCACTCACCCCTTTTCCGCCCAAGCGCATATTCTTAGGCCTTTATTTGGGTCGGTGTAGTTGGAGAGGGAGCCTGCGCAGCTTCCTGGAGTTGATGGCATTGGTTGAGTCGTCGTTGCCATCGTTGCTGGGCCTCTGTCCTTGTCCCTCCCGGATGTCCCACTCACAGGGTGGTTGAGACATCCGCTGTGCTGGGTCCGTCAGTTTGGAGTGATTGTTTGCTGACCCTGTGCTTCACTCACCCTTCCACCCCCCTGGAACTCCCCTACGCGTGGATGTCCCCAGCTGTGTCTCTCGCCTTACACGTGTGTCCTCCCTGCCCGGCCTCAGACAACGAGGGCAGGACCTCTGTGACCGTGACAATGCAGGAGGACCTGTAGCAGAGCTGCCTTTAAAGTCACATCTCTCGCTGGTGTAGATGCTTCTAGGTTTGCACGCATACGTCTAAACGCACCAGGAGCTGAAGTTGACTGGGAGGAGACATGTAACACAGTTCATGGTGCAAGTGCAGCCCTCGTTGGGCAGCCGCAGTGCTGGCCCTCGGCGCCCTTTGGATGGGGTGGGGTTGTTTTTCTGGCCCAGGGGCTGGAGCTCAATCAGGTCTCAGGTTTTACTTCAGCCGAGTTTACTGGAGTCTGAGTGTGTGAGCCGACTCCCCAGAATTGGAGCTCTGGGGAGGCTTGGGGATAGAAACCTACCAGCACATCAGCTTTGTGTGCCCACCATCGTGTGTGTGTGTGTGTGTGTGTGTGTGTGTGTGTGTGTGTGTGTGTGTGAGAGAGAGAGAAAGTGTGTGTTTGTGTGAGAGAAAGACAAAGTGTGTGTGTGTGTGTGTGTGTGTGTGAGAGAGAGAGAAAGACAAAGTGTGTGTGTTTGTGTGTGAGAGAAAGACTGTGTGTGTGTGTATGTGTGTGTGAGAGAGAAAAACAAAGTGTGTGTGTGTATGTGTGTGTGTGCGTGAGAGAGAGAAAGACACCAAAGTATAGTGTTAATTGAAACTAAAAGTCCCGACTTCAAACTCACTGCCATAGAATGAGCACTGGCTCAGTAAAGAGAGAGAGAGAGACCAAATTATAGTGTTAGTTCAAACTAAAAGTCTCAGACGTCAAGCTCACTGCCATAGAATTAGCGCTCACACTAACCCCTTGTGGGATTCTGAGACGAACTCTACTATAGGAGTAGAAAGACCAGTCTTTCTCCCTTGGACCTGCTGGTAGTTTCAAACTGCTGACCATTCGGATCGAGGCCTAATGTTTTACCACCTCCTCCAGGGCTCCTATGTTAATTACGAAGACTTAATTAAGATCAGAGCCTTGTCTAAGAGTGCTTCAGAGCACCACTCACCTGTAAAACACTTGTGAGTGAGTCGGAGCAGCCAGGGTCCACCAGGCCCCCAGGCGTCTGTCTGCCCAGGGCGTTTCCCTGTGTGACAGGTCTGCTGGGCCCCATCGGAGTGTGGGAACAAGGGCAAGACTTGGTACAAGCTGAGCATGCAGTTGTCTGCAGATGAGGCCGGAAGCTGAAGGGCTGTGACCCGGCTATCCACTGGTCATTTCACCTTTTTCTCTAAAAGCAAAAGTTGTTTACGTGGGCTCCGGCTTGCTCTGTGGGCTGTGGGCTGCCCCGTTCCTGGGCCCCATTGTCTGGCGTTGACAGGCCTGGGCTCTGCAGGTGTATCTGGTGGATTACGGCCTTGCCTATCGCTACTGCCCAGAAGGGATTCATAAAGAATACAAGGAGGACCCCAAGAGGCGCCACGATGGCACCATGGAGTTCACCAGCATCGACGCCCACAACGGCGTGGGTAAGTCTGGTGCAGGCTGGGCGGACCCTTGGCTGGCCTCTCAGCGGCCAGCTGGGATAGGTGGACTGGACTGGACGTCACCAGGCTGGTTTTATAGTCAGGGCAGAACCCACTGCCATCAGCCTGCTGATCACAGGGTGGGTGGCTTGCCCCTACCACTCTGGGAGTAGAGAGCCTCATCTTTCCAATGGCTCACCCACCACCACCAGGGACCCTCTAGGGGCCCAGCTCCGTCTCACCCCTCATGTCAGTGACATCAGTCGGGTTATGTGAGTGTGCCTCTCTTCCCTCCGGCCCACCGCTGTTCATGCCGTGGCCGCCGGCCGCAGGCAGGTTCTCCCCGACCCTCTGGGAAGGAACCCTGGGGTGCAGGTCAGACGTGCTGGCCCCTGCAACACAGGTTACGAGGCGCCTGTTCCTCGAAAGACAGGGCACCCCGACCCTAGACAGCACTGACGCTTGGGAATCGCTGTGGTGGCTGTGGGTTTAGGGATCGTTTGGTAATTTATCCTAGATTGTGGGTCCCAGTTTGAAGACCTGACATCTACCAGTGTGGATTTTAAAGTCAGATGTTAGCTGGGGTTCCCAGTCATGGTTCAGTATGTCCCATAAGCACAGTCAGGACTGTGGCGGTGCACGCCGGCCCTGGGGCCAAAGCAGTTGGCCTCCTGCTCCGTGTGTACTCACTCAGTCCCTCAGTCACTCGTTCATCCCTCGGTCACTCACTCACTCACTCACTCACTCACTCACTCACTCACTCGTTCACCCCCCTCAGTCATTCACTCGCTCAGTCACTCACCCACTCTGTTACACACTCACTCACTGCCATCGAGTTGGTGCTGACCCAAAGCGTCCCCATAGAACAGGATAGACAGAACTGCCCCTGTGGATTTCCGAGACTAACTTTTTAGGGGAGTAGAAAGCCCCCCTTTCTCCCTGTGTGCCTGTGACCTCCCCTAACCTGCTGCCTCTGTATTTGTAGCTCCGTCAAGACGAGGGGACTTGGAGATCCTCGGTTACTGCATGATCCAGTGGCTCAGTGGCCATCTCCCGTGGGAGGATAATTTGAAAGATGCTAACTATGTCAGAGACTCCAAAATTAGGTAAAAGAGCTTTTTGCTAAGTGGTGTTGACAGGACCTCGGTCGGCAGCGAGGGCCTTGGGTCTTACGGTGTGGGATGCAGTGAGGTGCCGCCTCTCGAGGCTCCCCATAGCTCTAGGACTGTGGCCTCAGGGTTCACCGGTGACACAGCCTCTCATTTCTAACAGATACAGAGAAAACATCGCAAGTTTAATGGACACATGTTTTCCTGAGAAAAACAAGCCAGGTAGGAAAAGTTTTTAAAATGTTGATAAGACACTGTTTCCACTGGGGAGAGTCAGGCCGTTCACGGACGAGTGTCGGCACTTGGGTCTGAGAGCAGGTGGGTGTGAGGGTGCTCAGGGCTGTGAGAGAGCAGTAGGCAGCATCATGATAAACCTCCTGGAAACGACCAATGTTGTCCAGGTTGTCGTTGTACCTAGAGCCACAACCAGTGCTCGTGGAAGCAGCTGTCGAGAAATCAAAGAACGAATCTGCTGCACAGGCCTCTTGAAGTGGTGCTCCTCTGAGCACGGAGGTGGGCCGCCCGAGCCTCGTGTGCCTGCCCGTGCTGGACACCGAACAGGAAGACCAAGGGAGTGGTGCCCTGGCACTGCAGCATTGGAGGGAACTATCAGATACACCAGGGACAGTCAGGAAAAGTGAAACACACTGTGTCAGAGAAGTGCAATCAGAATGCCCCTTAGAAGCAAGGGTGCCGAGGCCCTGTCCCTTGGACACCTTATGAGGTGAGACCCGTGCCTGGAGAGGAGCAGCATGCCTGGCAGGGTAGGTGGTCAGCAAAAAGAGGATGCTCTTCCGGAAGATGGATGGGCGTGGTGGCTGCACCAACGGACTTGAATTTAAGCCACGGCTATAACAAAGATTGTGAGGTCAGCTGGCCCAGGCCGGCCAGGGTTTCTTTGTGAACCGAACAAGAGCATGTTCACGTCTCAGTCTGGAGGTCAGAGGAGAGCACGGCTTGTGAATATACATATGGGCCTACGTAGTCTGACGATGGATTTCTAATGTTGAGAAGGGTTGATCTAGACTAGGGTCAGCACACTTTTGTGCAGGAAGAGCCAATTCTGTCCAACACAACCATTTAAGTTATTTCGGAGCCATACATAGATTTTTACAAATAAGGGACGTTAAAAGTAGAACGTTGTAAGTGAACCTGCAATACTTGTATTTTCATTTTCAGTCTAACTTCAGAGTCACATGTGGTTCTCGAGCCCCTGCTCTGGGCCTTGAGGTGAAACACTCACCCTGCAGCTAGCAGATAGTCCAGGGTGTAGGCCTCTGTCAGCCGCCAGGACGCAGGATCGCCCGCCCCAGGTCACAGGGACCCCGTCACTCAGAGACGGGCTTTTCTCCTCGGGGAACTGACCTGCTTTATCTGTGTGTTTCCGCCTGGTTTTCGTCTGCATGACCTCGTCCAGGTGCGGGGCGTTCCACTGCAGAGCCGGCGCTGTACGCAGGACATTTCCTTGTGGTCGTTTTCATGCCTGCCCCTCCTGAGCTCTTGTAGAGCCTTGAGAGACGGCTGTTCCTTCATGCAGACTCGGATTTTAAGTGTGTGTTGTCTAGTTTTCTCTCACAAGGGACACATCTATTGTGAAGTCTGATGTAACAGACACTTGAGTTCAGGAGCCCATTTTCCAGGGCAGAAATGATGGAAGGTGCCCTGTTCTGGGGAGAGGTGATCCGTGTATGTGTGTTCTAATTTGACTGTGGCCACAGAGATTTTATTTCACAGAAGAATTGGTCTCTTAGATTTGTGATGTTGTCCTTCCAGATGAGATTGCCAAGTACCTGGAGACGGTGAAGGTCCTGGGCTATGCCGAGAAGCCCTCCTACCAGAGCTTCCGCGACATCCTCCTGCAGGGCCTGTGCGCCATGGGCAGCAAAGACGACGGCCGGCTCGGCCTCAGCCTCGTGGAGAACGGGGCCTTGAAGGCGAAGGCCAGAACCAAGGTGACCACAGCGGCAGCTCTCGGGGCCCCTGCTTGGTAGAGGGCACCGACACAGGGTCCTGGGTAGATTCAGTACCCTGGGAAGCCGGTCGGAAAATTGACACACAGACGTGTTCTGGCCTCAGTAGCGAATCATCCTGTTCCTAAAAAGATTCTAAGGCAGATGGCCTTGGCAGCAGGGCGAGGGTTTCTGCCAGGGCCCCAAGGTGGTAGTGGGTGTCCTCCTGCCCCATGGCGACCTGCGGTCAGTCTTCTGCTCAGCACTCCTGCTTTCTGGGTGTGCTCAAGCACTGCACGTTTGCCATGTGAAAGTGATGCCGCTGGGAAAACCAGTGTGTGTGTGCGCAGAGCTGTGTGTGCATGAGAGGGTGGGGCTGTGAGAGGGGAGGAACGTCCAGAAGCAATGAGCTCTGGTGAGCTGTCCTGTAGGCCAGCAGTGGCCGGGCTTCCTTTGGCAGTTCAGAAGGGACACAGAAAACTGAGCATGGGAGGCTGTTGGCCACCTGTGATGTGCAGGTGACACAGTCAGGAGGGCCTGAAGCACTTGCCGGTGCAGGCCAAGGGGTGCAGCCTCCAGGACAGATTGACTCAAATGTCCAGCAGACCCAGATCCTCACAAGGGAACCACTAGGTAACATCGTGTTGAAGGGAGAAAAGATGGACGTTGTCAGAAGGATTGTGCCTGGATCGCAATCATTGCTCATGGAGGCAGCAGTCAGGAGATCAGATGATGCATTGCTCTCCAAGAAAGACCTCCTTAGAGTGTTCAGAAGCAAGGAGGTTCGTTTGAGACGAAGATGCACCTGACCCGAGCCATGGTATTCCCATCGCCTCACGTGCACCTGAAAGTTGGACATTGCATAAGAAGGTCCAAGAGCTGAAGCATTTGAGAAGCACGTGAAGAGGCCCACGGCCTGACAGAAGAACAGACAGACCTGTCTTGGAAGAAGTACAGGCAGTGCTCCTTAGAGGGTGGTGAGACTTCATCTCGGTCTTTGGGTGTGTTGTCAGGAGAGACCAGTTCCTACTCGAGGGGCAGCCAACAGCAGGGAGGCCCTGGATAAGATGGGCTGCCACACTGGCTGCCACAGTGGGCTCAAGTATAAGGACACTTGTGAGGCTGGCGCAGGACTGGGCTGAACTTTGCCCTGTTACATGCATATCAGGTTGCCCAGTTGGAATCAACTTGAAGGTGCCTAACAATGACAAGTTCATTTTTTATCAGTTACTTTATGATGAACTGTCCGGTGTTCTTCATCATCTGTGTCGGGCAGAAGCGGGAGCTGGCAGGGCAGGCAGGTGGAAAGATACCCGGGGCTGGTGAACACACTTCAGGGATGCTGCGAGAGGCCATGCCTCCCCCC